TGGGAGAATAAAGGGAGTAAGAGCAAGAAGAAAAATGATCAGTTTACACTGCGATTAACTAAGCCATTTCTTACTCTTATTCTCATTTATATTATGGGTTTTTGTTTAATTCTTGCTGTTGTTTTTATTTTTATCATGTGTGAGTAGTTTTATCATTGTAGGTTAGGGATTGAACGGTTTGTAAGGATCGTACGTGTTTAATTAATTTTGGTAAACTACGATTTTATAATTTGGATCGAATAAATGGATTTTAATGCTGCAATTCTTTTTGGCCAATTGAATTGTTGATATTAGAATTTAAATTCACATAGAGATATGGAATTCGAATTCGGAAATCATTTATTCGAATGGGTAATTTTCGTATCGAGAGATGGTTGTATTGCCTGGAAATTGTGATAACGAACTTAATGATTTTTAGGAATTTTAATCTATTAAGAACCGAGAGGTCGGTAGAAGAAATTCCTAGAATATAAGGTGATATTCGAGAGAATAATCATTTGCAAATGCGCACTTGAATTTCCTAAATTATGATCATAGTTACCGAAATATATTTTTAGAAGCGATCCTTACATAACCCGTAAAATCCCGACACCTACAATGTCTTAATTAAATTGTGTTAAAAATCACTGTTTATATTTGCTTTGATTTGTATTTAAGTTTAATCACCGTCACCACCAACCAATTTATTACCCCGACCAAAAACCGAGTAGAACCCGTAATTGATATCGTTGAATCCATCTGTGTCCCTGTGATCGACCCTAGAATACTACGATTGACCCGTACACTTGCGGTAGTTGTATCTAGGAAATTAAACGAGATTAGATCACATCCTAGATCGACATCACATATTTTGATTCATGTAAAGCATAGCCAGAAAACAAGCACACATTATGATCTATTGTGTTAGAAAAATAAAATATATAATAGTAAGAAAATAACTTATTCGTCAGACGCAAAGATACCCTCATTGCCCTGAGACTTGAGCCCTGAGTAGGACGCATTACAAGAAACAAACAAGTGCAGTATCTCCCCTCTGATACACATTTTAGGTTCTGTAACAAGTGTTCCCATCTCTCGGGACGTTCGATGGTTCAACGACAGGACCTATCGAAACGACAAAACCTCAAGAAAGTTACAAAGGGAACTCGCCAAAGAGAACAAATCGTCGAAAGAGTAAAAGAAGAGAATTTTACCATGCTTTCAAGAAAATTTATCTTCTGGTCAGTTTCAGATCTGCTGTCATTTGACTGTCTTAGAGATGGAGATCTTCGATGTCTGTTATGAGTTCCACACTTCTTGGAGGCTTATTGCTGTCGGGTTGGTTCACCACAAGCTGGCCACAAGCACCACTAATGTCCTGACCCATTTGTTTCCGGATCGTAGTTCTAATGTTATATGTTTCCCTTAGGATTCTCTGAAAACTCGAGACTTTTTCTTCGCTGCTGGTCCGGAATTGGCTCGAAGATCCAATGGGGTTGAATGGTATCAAATTCACCACCTGTTCAAGAAAGGGCACAAATTGCTGTCCAATCAATTCAATAAAGGTAAGTGGACTATAACCAAGAATTACGCAGCATGGCAAATAATTTTAGAGGGCCAATCCATCTCTAGCCCAAGGACCAATTTACTCATGTTCTGCTCTTTACAAGAACTCTAGTTCTACACGAGGTTTCCATGGGAGATTTACAAAACGCATGCTGGAACCAATTCATAAGGTCGCTTGGAACTCAGTAGGCAGTACCAGAAAATATCCATTAGTTTGTTTCATCAGATTTTTAGCCATAAAACAGTGTCATCAATGCATATTTTGATTTCAAATCTACACGGCAAAACAACACAGAGCAATAGTGTGTGTACTTGTCTCAGGTAAAATGCAATAGGCGGGCTTTGAGCTGATCATGTCCAATGCATGAACAAAGATCAAACCTCAATTTTCAGGTTATAGTTGGTTATCGTGTCCGTTTCTTCCTATATTTACCTGGACTTTGATGCCTGTCCGCAGTAATCTAATTACCAAGAGATTTGCAAAAACCCTTTAGTATGAAATCGGCAAATTACCACTTCAAATGTCTTTAGCAACTCTCCAAGCTGGCGAGCATGTTGTTCTTCGTCATTAACTCCATCAAGCATGATGTACTCAATGAAGATCTTCTGCTGACTATTAATTATTGGACAAAGAATCACACACCACGTTATCATCTTTATGAGCAGAAGAAAATAAGTATTCAAAGGAAACAGGATTGATGTGCTTGAATCACCTGTTCTTCTGAAAAGCTCGAAGTGCATCCATAAGCTTTTCCAGAGGAAAAGCTCGAGCTGCAGGCATTATCTGACAGCGGATATCTTGAACTGGTGCATGGAGAGAGACTGCTAAATTTATACCTGGTAGATCATTGTGAAGCTTGCTGATAGCGTGAACAACTCCAACCTATGCAAATAAAAATTGGGATCTAGAGATGTCCATATACTCATCACACACAAGACTGTTAATGCATGCAGGTTCTAATGATTTATCAGCTAATGTAAATAACTTATAGGACTAGGGGAGAAACAAATGGAAAAGAACAGAAAAACAAAACTTTCATGAACTCAAATTTCAGGTTTCAGCTGATCGAAGTTTAAACTTCTTTTTTCTTTTCTAGAATCGACAAGTGCACTAATAATTTTGGAAAAAAGAGTTTGTACAAAACTAAAAGCATTTTCCCGCTAAACAGGGAGAAAAAACTTCTTATCCACATGCAATAAACTAAAGAGTTCCAAATAGCTTTGTAATACTTACAGTTGATATGGTAATTCTTTTCGGTGACAGCTGAAAGGGCGGTCTCGTCATAACTCGGACAGCGTCTACCACAGCAGAATAGTTATTTAAAGGTTCTCCCATTCCCTGATTAACATATGAAAATAAAGGCAATGATGAACAAATCCTCATCAATCCAGTAGATATTTAATATAATAAAACAATAAAACAAAATGAATAACCACAAAGCTCGTTGTCACATAAAACTATAGGATCAAGAGGGTTCATGATTTATCTTATTGTACTGAAGACTAAAGAAATTTTGGACATCCACCAAGAATACATATAGATACGACCTTGACATAAACTAGGGATGAACCAAAAAAATTCGCAAAGCAATTTACCATGAAAACAACGTTGCGTATGTCAGAAAGCCGAGAAGCATGGACAAGCTGCTCCAAAATTTCTCCAGATGTTAAATGGTTTTTGAATCCCATGGTTCCAGTTGCACAGAATTTGCAGCCCATTTTGCAACCAACCTATTGATAAATAGACAAGTACTGTGAACCCATATGATGACGCTGATCTCATCACTGGACCTCGATTAGGAGGAGGTTTAACTAACTCATCAGGGAACTGAAATCTTCCAAGTAGATGAGATAAACTTAAACATAACTAAGTTCATACCTGGGATGAAATGCATAATGTAGACCTCAAACCTCCCAGACGTGGGTTTCCTCTATATTTTCCCAAACGAGTATCATACCGCATTATCACAGCTTCCACAAGAGCTCCACTCTAAAATTTTGAAACCAAAAACAAGAAAAATTATCAGTTGATCAGTTTACAAAATAACAGAAATCCCTAAACAGGGGAACGGATCAGAATATCAAAGGCATTATCAGCCCTTAAAATTCTTCAAGCTGAAGACTATTAATGAGCTGAAACCACACAACTCTACATTCTAATTTAACAAAATTACAAAGATAAAGTCTTTCACTATCCGAATCACAACCCGGGTGCTTCCTACCAGATTGGCAAAATGGCTGCTGCTCACACACTTTTTTTCCTCAAAGAATCAACCAGTGAATAATCTCATGTAATTCCATATACATCAATAAAACTGCAACGACAAAGATGTGGCACATAACATGTGCATACAGACATACATTGGCGCCCAAACAATTCTATAGAAGAATACCAACACTACAGAAAAACAATAGAGATTCACAAAAAAAGGCCACAAAAGAGGCGGAACCTGGAGCTTGATGAGGAGTTTGGAGGTGGCGCCATCGGTGGAGTGAAAGAGAGAATGGAGAGACGAAGTGAGAGGCTTGAACTTGGAGTGAAGGAGGGAGTAAGCAGGAGAAGGCAACGAAGGAATCTCATCCCAAACACAATTAGGGTTTCGAATCACGTATTTCCAGATGGGGTAGGCGAAATTAGGGTTTATCCCCGCCGATTCGAGCTCCGATTTGATTTCCGAAACGTCGAACACCGATTTTATCTTCATCGCTCCTTCTTCCCGACTGCGATCACCGTCTTTGCCCACTAATGCTCACGGGTCCTCTCTCACTCTACACTTTGAAGACTCGAAAGCTTGAGGTGAATCCAAGCCGCAAAGGTAACCAGAACTAGGGTTCGACTATTTCGGTGTAGGTTCCAAATTTTATATATACAAATTTTAAATTTAGGATGTGATTTAGAATTAGGGTCAGGGCAAAAATATCCCAAAATGGATACCGTTTCGAATCGAGATAAAAATCGAGTTTCAATACATCTAAAATCCAAAATTAAGATTCAGGTGTGGTTGATATTTTCGGATCAAATAATTATTTGTATGTATCTAGTAGAAAACTAATCATTATATTATTGGAAATATAAATATTATGGCCCATGGAATTTTGGGTTTTAAACTTCAATATGATCTTGACTACTTTGATGGAAATGAGTTTATTATGGTGTTGAAGTTATGGGTATTTAAGTTTATTTCTCTCTCCTTACCCTATAAATAATGGACATTTGGTTCATATTTTTATCCATAAAAAATCTATCAAGGTTAGGGTGAAAAGAGAGAAAACAAACAACAAACGATTTACTTTGTTCTTCAAAGTTATTCCGCTACAAAATAGATTCATGTATAATTTTCTGATATATATATTAATTTCGAATTGTGTGAATTATGTAAAATCGTATCCAATTCTGGTGGATTTTCATAAAGTTATCGAAAACCATCAGATTAAGATTTTTATATTTGGTATCAGAGCATGCGTTTTGTTTTATCATAATTCATCGATTACAATTTCAGAATTTTAATATGCATAATATATGGATACTTTTTTTTTATGTATCATCAAAAATTATAGTAATATAAATTAAAGCAGATATATATATATATATGAATTAGTATATATGAATATTCGTATTTGTTATATAATAATAGCAATATATATATCTTGAATATATGAACACAAAAACATATGTGCATGAAAAGTAAATATAAAGTTATAAAATATCATGCAAATATTAACGACATCAAAGATCATTTTAACAAATGTGAGTTCTAAATTTGAACAATGAAGATAGTTTTCAATAAATTAATAAATTTATAATAAAATATTAATATTGATAACTTGTATGTTTTATAATACATATCAATATGTATTATTATTATTTTTGTATCTTCATATAAGTATATATATTATGTATTAATATACCATATAGTAATTTGTATGGATAATAGTTTATATACTTTATGAAATTAACTATGTGGATACATATTATATGGAAGTTAAAAATCTTTTGATTTGTTTTACAGTCTAAACTTGTTAGTCACCAAAGTGACCTAGTTTAAATTAAAATAAATATTCAAACCAAATATGTATGTTTTAATTGTTCATAATAAAAGGATGCTAATGTATGACATAAAATAAATAATTGAACAATTATAATTATTTATCATATTGCTATTAGATCATCCAAAGATGGATCAATATATATGATTAATAATATTATAGGGATATAATTTTGGTTAATAAGTATGTATGTCCAAAGATTGCATTCTTATTTAACTGGTAGTATTATGATGTCCATTAAAGCATATTTTGCATCAATGATTGTATGTATGTATTGAAATATTACCCAAAGGTGATTTTTAGTACATATTATTGTTACTCTTGAAATACTAATGGATAAATATTTATAAAATTTCAGCTTCACTTAACCTTATGGCTTCTGGCAATGGAATTGTTAAGTTCAACGGGCTTAACTATGCAGACTGGTCTGAACATATCCAATTTTATTTGGGTTTCAATGATATGGATCATGAATTGTTGAATGAAAAGCCAACATCCATAACAGATGAAAGCTTAGAAAGTGACAGGATTAACTTCGATTCCTGGGAGCGATCAAATAGGTTGTGTTTGAACTTGATGAGGATTACTATGGCAAAAAGTGTTAAGCCATCGATGCCTAAAACTGAAAGTGCAAAGAAATTTATGCAAAAGGTTAAAGAGTATTCTCAGTCGGATCTGGCTGACAAGTCGGTAGGAAGTCTCATGAGCGAGCTGACTATGAAAAAGTTTGACTGGTCTCAGTCTATCCATATGATCATATGACTTACATGTCTAATATGGCGACAAAGTTGAAAGCTATGGGAATGGATGTTAATGAGACATTTTTGGTCCAGTTCATCATTAACTCTCTCCCTGTTGAGTTTGGTCAGTTTCAAGTGAATTATAACACCATCAAGGAAAAATAGAACTTTCAGGACGAAGGTCATGCTCAAACAGGAGGAAGGGAGATTAAAGAAGATGAAAGGACATTCTGTCCATCTTACAGTTCAAACTAATGCCGACAACAATAAAAGAAAACCAAGAAAAAATGGCAAAAAGAAGGATAAGGCTCCAATGAAAGATAATGTGAGCCAAGTCTGGAAAGAAGTCAAGTGTTTTTTCTGTAAAAAGACTAGACACATTAAGAAAGATTGTCAGAAAAGAAAGGGATGGTTCGAAAGCAAAGGTATGTTGGTTGTATATGCTCTAGGATGATCCGTGATATGACATTTGACTTTATATTGATTCATTAGTTTATGAATGCATTACTCTTCCCGTTATATGATTGGCATGTTTGTTATATTTCGGTATCCTTGAATCATTAGAGAATGATTCTAAACTCCCTAGTCGGTTATCATTGTGGGAACAATGATGAATTAAGACTAGCATGAGGTGTGATCGATGCATTGGATGCATATCACAATCATGGGTACTCGTTGTGAACGAGTGACTGGATGACCCGCATGAGATTGTCACATGGACAGAGTCATGACTTGAATCTCATACAGCGGTTCGTTCTCGGATCCTTAGACCTGAGATGTCTAGAGTATCTGATATGAGGAGTGGCGTGTCTTGACTGCGTCAAACGTCGTCTTTAACCGGATGATTATAACGGCGTTGATCAGATACGTTCACGAATCATATGGAGATAATAGACATGCAATATGGGACTTATCACCTCCTCAATAGGAGAGATATCGCTGGGCCCTCTCGTGGAAGTCGGACTATGAAAATGCGTGGTCACGCTATAGATTAAGTTGCATCTATTTTATTAGTCGATTTGCCAAGACGAGAAAGCAGTTGAACTTGAAGGGTGGCTCAAACCATGCCCTTGTTCAACATATGATATCGTGAGATAAAGGATCAGAACTCGAGCTGTTATTGCCTTGGTTAGATCACCTCTAACTCAATTCAACGTGGGTGGTCATGGCGTCTTGCTAGAGGCTAACCATGACTTGTAGATCGGGAATGGTTCTCGAGGCTACTGCCACTGCGAATGGGCCTACAGGGTCACACACCATTAGGGATGGACTTATATGTGAAGTATCGGAAAGGAAGACTTGGATTTGGTCGAAAAAACGGTTTTCGGATCAAATCAGAGTGTCGGGACGTTTTTTCAGCCTTCAGACTCGGACCGAGTCAGTTCCATGCGGGTCGAAGCCCAGAAAGTGTTTTGGGCTTGGCTGATGTTTTGACTCGGTCGAGTCAAAGTTTTGACTCGGACCGAGTCAATACTAAATGGGCCGAGTCAAGAATTGACAATGGGCTTAGGCTGATTCGTTCTGACTCGACCGAGTCAGAGTTCTGACTCGGACCGAGTCAATATTCGGAAAAAGTCTCTTTTCATAAGGATTAGGGTTTCTAACTTATAAGTAGGGTATTGGACGTCGTCCTCAATATAAGACATACAAAAAGAACCCTAAAATAGAGCAAAAACTCAGAAGAAATCGTTTCTTTCATAGTTCTAGCTCCCGGGATTAGATCCCACTTCATATACTTCACAGATCCTAGCAGATCGGTTCCAAAAAGCGTTTGGAATCCTTCCCGTCGGTGTGGATACGTGTAGAGGGACTGTAACTTCAGTCCTAGGTGATTAAACAGGCCCCGGATCGACTCCTACTTCCGTTTCTTCAAGAAAGAGGTAAGTATTCGATTCCCACGGTGATATACACGATCTGTTCGGGTTTTGCAGGTTTGGTTGCGTGTGACGTTTGACTAGGTTTAAATTATCCTTCCGCTGCATGAAACCTAGTAAATCAAACCCTAGATCGATATGATCGCATGCTAGGAACCCGTAAAGAAAACCCAACAGTGGTATCAGAGCCTGGTTCTCTGTATATCGCCGTGCTTGTCGCATGCCTATATGAATTTTAATGGTTAAAATACGTTTGACTAGGTTTAGATTATTCTTCCGCTGCATGAAACCTAGTAAACCAAACTCTAGATCGATATGATCGCATGCTAGGAATCCGTAGCCTAAAAACCCAACAGTGGTATCAGAGTCTGGTTCTCTGTATATCGCCGTGCTTGTCGCATGCCTATATGGATTTTAATGGTTAAAATTGCATGATAGGCTTGATCTATTCATATTTAATGATGTTATGATTGTTATTTGATGCATTGATGAGTTTGGGGGTCGAAGACGGCTTGATGGTGCATCGAAACGGGGTGAAACCCTAGATCTCGTGGCCAAAAAGTGTCTACCAGAGTTTTGACTCGGCCAGAGTCAAGTGTTGACTCGACCGAGTCAGAACGAGAGATCTCCCAGACCTCGACAGAGTCAGAGTTTTGACTCGAGAGAGTCAGAGTTTTGACTTGACAGAGTCAGAACGACAGATCAGAGTTTTGACTCGGACAGAGTCAAGTGTTGACTCGACCGAGTCAGAACGAACCAAAATGAACAGACTTGGCCTTACAAACTTCTGACTCGGACCGAGCCAGTTTTGACTCGGACAGAGTCAGTACAGAAAGTTATCCGGTTGTCAAGTTTTGGTTCAGATTGATCTGTAGATGATTTCGGCTTCTGACTCGGACCGAGTCAAGTGTTGACTCGGACCGAGTCAGTTCGTCAGACTTTGTTAGATGCAATTGTTGCATCGTTTCAAGTGTCTAAGCCGAGATTCTGATTCTACCGATATGATCGGAACAGCTTGATTGAACTGACTTGAATTCAGTCAAGATTTCATTGTGTTCAAGTCACATATGCCTCATGAAATCTCAAGCTATTACCGCCCATTAGTAGAGCAACTGTCAAGGCCTCGATCGTCATGGTTACGGGTCATGCCCTAGCTGAGCGTGCCTGATTATCTTGGTGAGGCAGTATGGAGAAATCGTGATTCTCATAGCTCGAATATGGTTGAGCTTGAATTGGGTCATCAAGTCGGACTTGGACCTGATGGTAAGGATGGGATGAGGAACATGCAGTGATAGCGTATCACTATCCCATACTCATCTAGGAATCACATAGGATGTGATTGACACTGTGTTGTCTACCTAAATAGCATGTTTTTGAGCGTCATGCCCTAGCTGACTCTAATTGTCTACTTCCTCGAAGTCCTTGCACATTTCCACAAATGTGTGAGGCACATCCGGTATCTAATACCCATGATGTAGAAGTAAACAAGTTCGCCTCTATAACGAAGATACCAGAAGTCGAAGCTTCTGTAAGCTTCTTCTTCCTCTGATCTTCCAGGTAGAGTCTGCAATTTCTATACCAATGCCCGATGGCATGACAGAAATAACACTCTTCCTTCTTGGACTCAGGCTTATGTTCAATGACAACGCTTGCCACTTTCCTCTTGCCCTTGCCCTTGGAATGTTTCCTTTTGGTGGAACTCTTTCCAATAACTACCATATCATTCTTCCCTCGGCTCCCAGTTTTCTCTTGGAATGACACATTCAACTGATCAACCATCAATGAATTGTCCATGTCATCTAATTGCTCACGCAATTCCGAAGACATCTTTCCAAGCATCAAGCTGGACACGTCCAGATCATCATCCTCATGCTTCCAATAAGCATCAATGATCGATCTAGAAGCCGTGGTCAGAGGCTTATCCTTCATAAGGATAGATCGCATGGTGAGATAAAACAGATTCCTGCAACAGATATGTTCTACAGAAAAAGACAGACAAACAGACAGAGTTATGGTGCTGCGTGATGATGGTGAGATAGAAACAGAGGGAGAAAGTGACGCCGAATCTATGCCATCATTGGAGGATGATTTTGAGGAGCAACTACCTGCCAAAGGAGAGGCATTGGTTATAAGGAGAATTCTAAATCTCAAAGCAAAAGAAGAAGAGGATTTCATCATCATACTTTCCAATGCAAAACGGAACCCTCACTTTCTTGGAGACTTTCACCTCTCCACTATCATTCAACCATTGCAACCTATAGGGTTTAGGATGCTTGGTTGGTTGCAGGTTTAACTTCTCCACCATTGTAGCATTAGCAACATTCGTACAGCTTCCCCCATCAATAATCACACTACATACCTGATCTTCATAAATTTCCTTCGGAGTTAAAGGAACAAGTCTGATTTTGCTTCCTTTAAATTCGAACGAGTATTTGTTGCTGTAGCCATCATGTTGCACACGTCTATCAAACTGCCATGGCCTGCCCAACAACAAATTGCTAGCCTGCATCGGAACTACATCACAAAGGATTTCATCATCATACTTTCCAATGCTAAACGGAACTCTCACTTGCTTGGAGGCGTTCACCTCTCCACTATCATTCAACCATTGCAACCTATAGGGTTTAGGATGCCTGGTTGGTTGCAGGTTCAACTTCTCCACCATTGTAGCACTAGCAACATTCGTACAGCTTCCCCCATCAATAATCACACTACATACCTTGTTTTGAATAAGGCATCTAGTATAGAAAATGTTCTCCCGCTGCACTACCTCTTCTTCTTTTGCTTTGAGATTTAGAATTCTCCTTATCACCAATGCCTCTCCTTTGGCAGGTAGTTGCTCCTCAAAATCATCTCCAATGATGGCAAAGATTCGGCGTCACTTTCTCCCTCTGTTTCTATCTCACCATCATCACGCAGCACCATAACTTTCCGGTTGGTACAATCGTTAGCAAAATGACCCCTACCCAAAGGATGTTCTTGACTGCAATCCAGTGAGCCTCACCTGGTATAGATTGATATCTACTAGTCATGCTTAATGCATATGATACGTCTGGGCGAGTACACAACATGGCGTACATGATGGATCCAATTGCCGAGGCATATGGAATCCTACTCATGCGCTCTTG